GCCGCCTCCTCCTGCGCCAGCACCTGACCCAGCTGCGCCACGGCGTTCGGGCCCGACCCGGGGCCCGCCAGCGTCTCGCGCACCAGCGCCCACAGCTCGCGCTGCAGAGCCTCGTACAGCAGAGCCACGTCCCGCGCGCGGCGGCCTCCGCCCGCACACTCCGCCTTGGGAGGCCCCGGCGCGCCGCCCCCCGACGACGCCAGCTCTTCGGCCTCCAGCTCCAGGATGTGCTCGTCGGCGCGCGCTAGCTCGCGACGCTGGATCAGGCTGAGGATTTCCAGCACTGTGGGGGCAAAGCCGGCGATCAGGGGAGGGGGCTGGGCGGGGGCGGGGGCGAGGGCGAGGGCGAGCAATGGAAGGGGTTGCGGAGGTGAAGGCAAGAGGAGTGGGAAGGAGGTGTGAGGTCCGAGGGAGGAACTGGGGTAACCCTGATGGGTCCTGGAGAACTTGTGCACGGTAGGAGAAGGTGCAAGGTAGGGAAGGTGGGAGGACGTGAGGCAGGACTGTTGAGAACCAGGTAAAAAGGGATGGGCAAGTTGGAAACTTGGAGGTAGGGTGAGGACATCCCGACCAGAGGTGGGGTCCTTTGGGGGTGGAGATGGCTGTGGGGTGATCTAGCACTCTGAATTCAGACTTCCCCCAGAAAGCAGAGTCATGGGGTTGGCAGGCTTCTGAGAGAAGGCAGAGGGAGGGTCCCAGTGGCCGAGGGTTACCCCTGACACCTCCTCCCCTCCGCTTCCTCCCTGGCAGAGAAACTATTTCCTGGCCAGCGCTATTTCTGCCCATCCGTTTCCAGAAGGCGGGGGCTCCAGTTACCCCCTCCTCACCTCCCTGCAGTGCCCTCCCAGTCCTCAGGGAGCTGGGGCTGAAATAGCCTCTGGCCAGGATGTGGAGGGCATCAGAGGACGAGGACAGAACTCATCACTCACTGGAGCTCCCCAGCCTAGCCGGGGGACAGCGTGTCCCTGAGTGAGGGTACCAGAAGCAGGGATGAGGTGGAGGAGTGGAGATAAAGACAGTGGGGATGGGGTGAGTTCGAGTGGAAGTTGGGACAGGGTTAGTGTTTCAAGGATGCCAGAGAGGTGAGACTGAGGATGAGGAAGGTGGATGTTGGGATGGCAGTTTAGGATTAGGATGAGATAAAGAGGTGGTTATGGAAAAATAATTGAGAATGGCCCTGGGACTTGGGATAGGGGATAGAGTTGGAGATGTGGCTGGAGGTAAGTGAGGGTGAGAGAAGGTAGAGGTGGGTGTGAATTTAAAGATAAAGCCATGCCATGAGTTGTCATTGAGGGTTGAGAGTAGGAGTAACTGGAGTTGAAGATGGAAGTTGGGCAGTGGGTTCAGGATTGAGATGGAATCGAGATTGAGGTCCAGGATCTACATGAGAGTAAGGATGAAGGAAGAGCTTTAGGGTGGGAATGGGGATTGGGGAGGGACCAGGAGTGTGGGGGGGAAATGAAATAATAAGGAGTTTGGAGAGAGGGTTGGGTTTGAAGGGGGATGCTAAAATGGGCTTAAGGTTAGGAGAGAGACTGAGGAGGGAAAAGGCTTGAAGGTGGACAGGAGGATGGGATGGGAGATGAGACGAGAGTAGGGCACGGAGTTGGTGTCATGAGCATAGAGATGGAGTTGAAGATGGCCTTTGGAGAAAGGAATGGTTGGGAATAATCACATGAATGTGTCTCAAGTTGGAGACAGATGACAGGATTGGAATAAAAATTGGATGGGACTAAAGTAAGCATCAAAGAAGACATTGGGGTTTAGGGTATGAATAGGGTTGAGGATGGAGAAGGGGTTGTAATATTTGTTATGGCATGTAGTTGGGGGATGGAGGTAGAGATGAGAGGTAGGGTTGAGTTAGAAGATAAAGTTTGGCAATGAGTTGGAGATAGAGTTGAGGGTGGAGTTTGGGGACAGG